GAAGATTAAAGAGTTCTGTTTAAAACTTTAAAAACAACCAAGCAAATCTTAAAATCAATCCTAAAACGGACCAGAACAAAGTGGAGGGAAGCCAATACTGGCATTATGTGATCTCATTTTCTTTTTCTAGTTATAAGACAAGCGGCTACATTTTGTGCTAACTGCAATCACCAAAGTGACGACTGATGTACACCCATATACAAAGAATTACAACAGCCTAGCCAAGAGGTAATAAAAGAACAAATAACTCTTTCGAGATATTTTGGGGGTGGGAATAGGCCTTTACCTTGAATAAAAGTCTTGACTGGAAAAATTAGTTTTTAGAGAACAGAAAATATGCTGGAAGGCATGTGTTCTTTAAAAGCCACCAAAATGACAGCATTTATCATGTCCAGAAACTGTAAAAACAGAAACTATCGTCAAATTTTCCAATATTCAACAGTCCATAGACACATCATGTGCGACAAACACTATATAATATAACTTAAAATACTGATATTTCATAAAAATCACCTTATTCTACATCTCATGGACTTAGTTTACCTACTGCATTTATAATTATTATAATTTACTTTATTAATTACTGTACAATAGTGACTTAAAGACAATTGTTTATTTTTTCCCGTGCAATACTTTGTGCGATTATTCAGCTGTGCAGTATTCTTCAGTATACAACTTTATTCTCATCAACACCTCTTGAATGTATATTCAACATATATTTATTCATTCAACATACAATGCACATAACTGTACATATTTCTTATGTTTACTCTTATTTTATTTTTGTTTTATTTTATTGATGTATATATTGTAGTTAAAATTTTCACACAGCCTCAGCACAGTGATGATATATATTTTATTTTTAATATCTTAAGTACTAGTGTTAATCACTGTAGCATAAAGGACATTTTATTTTTGATGCACATTTTTATTTCTATTTTACTGCTTTATATTGAAAAACTTCTGTTTTATACTCTTATTCTTACTTCTTACACTTCTCTATTGTTTATATCAGAGCGACTGTAAGAAATCACAATTTTCCTTGGGGGGTCGATAAAGTATTTCTCATTCTGATTTAAGATTTGGCCAAACATAAGTTGTTTGCGCGAACTAACCAGCACGACAAGAGTGAAAAACTGAGGCTTTATTCAACTCCAGGATTTCATCTTGAGGTTTTAACCTAAACATCAAAGGATAAGTTTTAAAAATCTAATTACTAATTTATGTTGGAGGGAGGGTCATGCATGTTCCACCAGCCACTCAGGGAGGATCAAGGAAGAATATCTGTAGCTTTGGCGAAGGTCATAACAAAAAATAAATCAATAAACTTTACATCTGAGAAGTCTCTATGTAAAGTTTTGAATGCAGGACTTTTACTTGTAATGGAGTATCGTTACAGTGTGGTGTGACTGCAAACTTTTCACTGGTGCTCATTAAACATTGAGTTATCATACCAAACAGGAAATTAATTAATTTAATTAATTCAAAATAAGTTTGAGTGATAATAGTAATAATAGCAATCTACTTATTCTAAACTCCTGTGCATTCATTAAACTTGCTAAATCATTTTATAGTCATGAGTAATCCAACACTGTTATTTAAAAATATAACACTTGTTTAATTCAAAGCAGAGAGGAGACCAACAATAGCCTGCTGTAATTTACTGTATAAATGATTAATTTTGTTGTATCACAATTTCTCTCCAACAAAATGAAATACTGGCTTTGTTATACACCTTAACTCATTAATGTGATCAAATTTGAATTTTGTGGTGATTGTACATGAAACTTTTATCTGTAAAGAGAAAACCACACAGACAAAAAGAATATATAAACATCCTTTAATCATGATTGCCAAACATATGAATTAAGGCATATACAGTATAAAAAAGCAACAGCAGGTTCCATGTTTATACGATTTCAGTGTGTTATTAACTGGATACACCGGGTGGATGAACTGAACATATACCAAGCAGCCTTTATAAGACAACACTGTGTCTCCCAAAAGATGACAGCATTTTGTAAACAGAGTTCATAGCACTATATTCAAGTAATAGAATGATCACTGATACTATGCAGGTAAGGTGTTGTGTGAGGGAGGCAGAGCCGCTGATAGACCAGGTCCCAGTTTACTTAACTTGTGCTCACGCAGTGTGAGCGTTGTGTTATGCTGCATTGAGTTAAGGTAGCAGGATGGGAAGAATGGGTAAATGTGGTTTCCTCTAATGTCAGCCATGTCGTCACAATGATACAAATTAAATCAAGCCTAAATCTGCAGTTTGTTTTTAACTGGAGTCCTTTACATTAGCTGATCCTGTTGCATTTGTGTTCATATTGAATTATATTTGAATGTTTGCAGCTAATTTGACACAGCTTTGTTGATAGTTCAGCTACAGAGGGGATATCAGAGAAGAAAAAATATGAGGTTGCAGTTATAAGATGATGCTTGAAAGAAAAGCCTCACTCATTGAGCACATGGCTTTATCTGTGTAAAATAGCACCCTGCCTCTTCTTCTTCTTCTCTCTGATTATCAGCAGAGGCAGTTTTAATATCAGTGAAGGTGGCCGGCCTCTAGTTTTAAAACAGAGGAAGGTTGTCATCTCCATTTTGGATCCACTGTGGCCCGATATTAACAAATCTATCATCTCTTACTCTTAGCAGTACCTCCAGGATTTTGTGGCCTGATTTCACAGCAGCTAATCTTAAAAAGTTTTGACGCATTTGGTGATATTTTTAGGCAAAAGAAGTTGTGATGCTGTCTAGATTAAGAGCTTATAATTATGAGCATTCAGCGTTTCTCACAGAATTAAAATCTGTGCATGATGCTGTTCAACGCAGCGCTGAGGGACAGTCTCTGTGAGCTGCTCTCCTCCTGCTATCTCTGCTTGCTTAGCACGAGCCATGATTAGATATGAGCTAAACTGTGATGGTATGCCGAGGTAAAGTGATTAGTTCAAAAATACTGCAATTATGGCTCCCAACAGAAAGTATTAGGAGCAGAAGTGCAGATATAATTTCAGCTGGCAGCCCAGTCACTACAAGAAAATGTTGGCATGGTACGTCTCTGCAAACCATGTCAGCGTTTCTAAAGTGATAAATATAAGCTGTCTTTGTGATCAGGAGGTGGAGGGGACGGTGGATGTACTGACACCTAGGTGAGATGTCTGCCAAGCTGCAGACCACTGTTTGAGACCAAGAAACAAAAGTGGTTCTTTTTTTTAACCAAGAAATTACCATTGAAACAAGGTATTTTGAGCCCAAACGTGATCTTTCCCTAACCATGACCAAGTATTTTTCATGCCTAACCACATTGCTGTTGTTTAATCATAAAGTTTTAACAAATTGTAACGTACAAATCTAACATATCTGTGGTTTGCAGAAACATACAGTACCAACATTTGTTGGGGGGTTGCAGCTGGATGCTACAAGTAATGCCAACGTCAGATAGAGGAGCTTTGTTGTTGCAGCAGGAGAAAACAACTGAATTGGAAAGAATTCCATCACAAGCCAATCACAGGTAGCCAGAATGATCTGGCACAACACTGGTCTGAACGTCACAGGCCTGGTCAATGGATCCAGAAACAGTCTTGAGATGTGGGAGCAGTTTTGGCACCAATAATCAAACCTTCTGTCTATCAGAGGCTCTGCAGTGAGCTAGTCAGCTTGTAGAGGAGCATGGGAGCAGGGGCGGAGCAAAGGATTGTGGGACTCCTGACAGAATGAGCAAACATGACAGCGAAGAAGTCGGCATTTTACTCAAAGGACAAGTTCAGTGTTTTCTATCGCTCTACTGTGGATGAATGATACTTTCTACTTTTCTGTTGTCTGAGTTTTTGGAGCTGTTGCTCTCTACTGAAAACTGAATTCAGCATGTTCTCAAACTGCTGTTGATGCAAGCAAATGTCTTTATACACAACTTCATAAAGACAAGACATAAATGTTTAAATTGATTTTTCGTTTACTGATAAAAGCTTATTTTTGGTCATGAACTCACTTTTTGACGTCAGCAAACAAACCAAATTCCATTTAGTTTTGAGTACAGAGCCACCTGTAGAGGTAATAATAAAGATACGGATGTAGAATATAAGCAAAAACTCATGTTAATACTGAAAATGTCCTTCAGAAGTGCCGCAACTCAAAGTATAACTGGCACTCTTATTCATTCACCTAGCTGCAGGTTGTACCTTTGATTAAAGCATCATATTTACATCACAGATGTCGGCTGATGATTGTTGATTATATTCAAGTCAAATAATAAAAATGTTTTAGTGAAAACTCATCAAGCCATTCATCAAATTTAAGCTCTTTTTAAGTTGAGACTGAAAGTGGATCCTCTGATTGGGCCTCATGGTCCAACTACAAAGTCATGGCATTATGTGATTGAAAGTTCCAGAGCTACTAAATGGACCCTATGGTGAGATTATTTGGCTAAATGAAAACAAAGTTTTCTGACATTAACCACGTAGCTTTTAGTAGCACAGACTGTAAAAGAAGCGGACGCAGCCTTCAACTCATTCTCACCCCCAACTCGTCAAATACTGACGCTAGGTCTGTGGCCCTACACGTCCAACTATGACACTCTAGGTACCCTCCCAGCGTCAGTTTTGGACGCTCATTGCGTCACATGCATTCTATCTTTTCAAAATGAACTTTGTTTTCACAGGAAATATACAGTTTATGTTTGTTATATGCAAACAGTCTCTTTCAAAATAAGCTTACGATGCTAGTAAAAAGACTTTGTTTTCAGATTTACTTCCTTTAGGTTTAGGTAGTGCAAAAAATGTGGGTGGGTATGAAAACATGGATGCTTCACACACAGAAGATCTGTATAATGAGTTTCAAGATCAGTGTCACCAATTCAGTATCTGACCAAATGTCTCCCCTTCTGTTCCTGAGACATGACGCTGAGTAATGGCCAGAAAAGTGTTTTATGCAGAACATTATGATGTCACAGTGAAGTTGACCTTTGACCACCGAAATCCAATCAGTTTATTGTGGAGTCCAAGTGGACATTTGAGCCAAATTTAAAGAAATTCCCTTGACGTGTTCTTGAGATACCATGTTCACAAGGATGGCACAGACAGACACGGTCATGGCCGGCGCAGAGGCTTAAAAAAAACATCACTGTTTGGTTTAAAATAAGTACGTTTGTTATTACTGTCACATCACGTGACATATGTCACTAGCATAGTATGCTACAAATACTAGCACACTACATTGTTAATAAACTAACACGATTGACTTTTGGTTTCACATGGGACATGAACAGCAGTCTCTTGGATGAAAGTCCAGAGTTTGTTAGACCCATTTCTGTCCCACCTCTTCTAAGTAGACTGTGGCAGTTGCTCAGAGTGTCAAAAAAAGCTGAAACCTGGTGCGTCTCACACCGATACTAAAAGGATGCATCGGTGCATCTGTATCTGAAGACAAGGGCCACTGACCAAGCGTTGGTATCGGATGAATTGGGACTGAGACCAGGTTGTACCCATCTCGAATTTGGCATTTTGGCCGTGCAATCTTGTTTTTTTTTTTTGGAGCCAGAAGCGACCAATAACTAGATGAGAGGGTGGAGCTGCAGAGGCTACGCATTGCACCTCTATCTTGATTGACAGGTCTCCATGGTAGTGAACCATTAACCACAGGGTAGCCACGCCCTTCAGCATCATTTAAATGGCTCTGTATCATTTTAAATGGGATCATAATTTGCAAAATGAACATTGTGTTTTATTGAAGACTTGAGACCTTAAACTAATTAGGAAAATGTTCACTGAGAGCAAGTGAGCAGTAGAGTCATTTTCTCATTAACTTCTATACAGTCGGACTTCTGTTTGAAACCAGTAGAGTCGCCCCCTGCTGGCCATTAGAAAGACTGCAGGTTTAAGGCACTTCTGAGTTGGCTTCACTTTTCTATGGAGGCTACGTCCAATTCTTTTCCACAATCTGTGGCCTAAAACCAACCAAACCTTAACCACAGCTATGTCAGGTGTGGAGATGGTCACATGAATCAACAGTTAACTGAGAGAAAACTGATTCCATGAGGCTCAAACTGGGACTAACAGTCACTAAATGACTCACTTGAGCTGCACTCAGCTAATAAAGAAACTGTGGCTCTGTTCCTGCTGGTTGTCCCCGCTCCGCCCGCTGCTCCCCTGCATCGCTGATGGAGATCAACATAGAGTACGATAAAGCATGTTAGTGCTCTGCCATGAATCTGTACAGAATATATACACCACTGGGTTCCTACATGGCACTGGGCAGGTCGATGTGAAGGTTTACTCTCACATAAAGACAATACAATCAACATGGTTACGCTCAAGTACAGGTTAGTAATACAAATGTAGCGTCAGCACTATGGAGGGAGGAGGACCACTTCAATAATCAGAATGAGAATAATAAGGATAGTAATAGACTTTTTAGCTTCCTAATGCTGTTTCCCAATAGGAGTTTTTAAAATAAAAAAACATCAACACTATTGGGATAATGTAAGTCATCTTCAGTACATTCAGTCATATCATCATCATCATAATACACTACAATAAATGTGCATTTTATAAAGTTGAACGCCTCAGCTGCAGCCGGGCTGATGCACGGCGCTCTGGGATGTTGAGTTTCGTACGCACCGCTTGCTTTTGTCAAAATCCTGCAAAACTGAAAGCTTCAAAAGTCAGTGATCTGGATCTGTACAGAGGTCCTGATCCTGCTTCCCGTCCCTCCGTCTGTTCCTCGATGACGTGTTATAAAACAGGTGGTTTCATTAGTAAGAAATGAAAGAGGTTTTTTTTTTTTAATTTAAGTTCTCTGCCTCTCAGCGAGGCGAAGCTTATTAAACACCATGGAATTGATGTCTGATAAATCTGCCGTTCCTCATGTGAGACGTGGTCACATGGTCCTACTTCTTCCCTTCGCTCTCTGTGGAGACAAAGAGACAAAACATTCAGTCACATATTGGACCTTTAGCTCAGAAACTACAGTAAAGACTTTAGGTGTGTTCAGTCTGTAAGTGGTGAGACTGCTTAATAAATCAATCAAAAGACTGAACAAATGATGGTTTCACTGCAGCAGACAAACTGAAGCAAAGAAACATAAAGCAAAAACTTCAGTTTGACTTCTGAAGCAGAGGAATTTGGGAAAGTTTACAAGATTTATAGAAAATAGATGATGTAAATTTTTACAAAATGATAAAGGCAACAGATTGTTTACTGTGATGGATTACTGCATCGAGTCACACGTCTCTGCAAACTGATTTGAATAGTTCCCTGTCATGAACAAAAAAACTTTGGTTGCCTGGATTACTGCCTCATGGTTGCACGTCTCTGTGCACCAGTCAAGTTGCAGTTACAGTTCACACCCATGTCTGTGAAAACATATATGCTTCACACACATCTCCCCCACAGGACATAAGATCTATACAGTCAGCACAGTTTCAAGATTAGAGTCACCACTTCAGTATCTGACCAAATGTCTCCCCTTCTGTTCCTGAGATATGATGCTGAGTAATGGCCAGAGAAGTGTTTAACGCAGAACATTATGATGTCACAGTGAAGCTGACCTTTAACCTTTTGGATATAAACTGTCATCACTTCCTCATTGTATCCTTTTAGACATTTGTGTGAGGTTTTGTCATACTAAGCAAATTAATTCTTGAGTTATGGCCAAAACATGTCTTGTGAGGTCAGAGTGACCGTTGACCTTTGACCACCAAATCAAAGTGAACTAAAATTGAAGAAATTCCCTTCAGGTGTTTTTTAGATATTGTGTTCATAGTTTTCTGTTCACAGGAAACAGATTCCACTGATTATTTGCACCAGTTGGTCAGGCTCATGAGAAACAGATGCCTGGCTGCCTCTTTGTAGCTGTGTTAGTTTTATTTTTACCAGTTATTTAGACAGTTATCATTTAACACTTTTAAGGGCACCACAGTAGTGCAGTGGTTAGCACTGATGCCTCACAGCACCACCCCTGAGTTTGAACCCCGAGGTGGGAGAGCCCCTCTGCGTGAAATTCTGCATGTTCTTCCTGTGTCAGTGTGGGTTTCCTCCAGGTGCTCCAGCTTCCTCCCACAGTCCAAAGACATGCAGGTTAACTGGTGACTCTAAATTGTCTGTAGGTGTGAATGTGAGTGTGAATGGTTGTCTGTCTCTATGTGTCAGCCCTGTGATAGTCTGGTGACCTGTCCAGGGTGAACCCTGCCTCTCACCCAGTGTCAACTGAGATAGGCTCCACCCCCCACGACCCCCAAGACATTACGCAGTTACAGAAAAAAAAAAGAATGAATATTCAACCTTTAAGCTCCTTTTCACTACATATTTTAATGGTTTAATTATAACGTTAACAAGACACCAAAGAAAAAGTTCCTCTACTTTGAGAGCAGATATATTTTTTTAAGTATTTTTATATTTTCATGTTTCGTATCTTTTTTCATTTTATACCATTGCTCTTTTACACTGTATCTTACTATATAATGACGAAAACTCTGTGTGTGTGTCTGTTCCACATTTTTCTCCTCACTGACTTGGTCAATCCATGTGAAATTTGGCACAGTGGTAGAGGGTCATGGGAGGATGCCAATGAAGCAATATTACATCAATTGGCCAAAGGGGGGCGCTATAGCAACCCATTGAAATGTCAAACTTTGAATGGGCATATCTCATGCCCCGTATGTCGTAGAGACATGAAACTTTGCACAGAGATGCCTCTCCTCATGAGGAACACATTTGCCTCAAGAACCCATAACTTCCGCTTATATAGATTTTCCGCCATTTTGAATTTTTTGAAAAACACTTCAAATGGATCTCTTCCTAGGAAGTTTGAGCGATCTGCATGAAACTGGGTGAACATAATCTAGGGACCAATATCTAAAGTTCCCTCTTGGCAAAAGTTGGAAAACTTACTAAAACTGAGCTTCTATAAGGCAATGAATATTGCGGAGGGCGTGGCTCATCACATAAAGGTTTATAACATCTCAAGGGTTTCACCCATCACCACGCAACTTTGTAGGCATATGACCACACATAATCTGAGGGGACCCCTCCATTATTGACCCCATCAAACAAAATGGGGGCGCTAGAGAGCTCATTTCTTATTTAGGCCTAACCGCCATATGGATTTTTACTAAACTTGGTAGATATGTAGAACAGGACGCCTCAAGGTGACTGGAGAAATTTAACTCTAATTGGCAACTGGGTGGCGCTATAACAACAGAAAAATGCTTCAAAATGGCTAAAATGTGACCGATCGCTGTGGCTCCCCCTGTGGACCAATGTTGGTGTTGTTTTCTAATGTTTGGTATGACTAAGTCATGGTATGGTATGCTGTACATAATCACGGAAACTGTCAGTGTGTCATTCTGTCAGTCAGTCATTCTGTCTGTCCCACGTTTTTCTATTCACTGACGTGGTCAATCTATGTGAAACTGCACATAGGCATTGAGGACTGTCATAGGTAGAAGGTGACAAAGCTACCAATGGTTATGGACTAGTTAATTTTTATGTACCAAATCAGGCAAATTGACTGTGTGTGCAAATATATTTAGTTTAGCCTGAGAACAAAGAATTTCATTGCAACAGCTGCTCCACTGTAACTGTTGAAAGTTGTAGTAATAACATAAATGTCTTTCCTTCAGGCCTTCAGATAAAGTGACAACACTAAAATGGAAGCTGATAACATAAACAGGTTTACACATACATTAAAATAACCATTCTGATGATCCTTTGTTGTTCAGAGCTAATGAGATAATTAAGTTGTGATTGTAAGAAAACAGTTTGTTCATAAGATAAGAAGATGATTAATTAAAGATCTTCAGATTTCAGACGTCAGCTGAAAACTGCTGGAATTCTCCTTCAATTCTGAGCTGTTGTGTGATTTCATCTGTCAGCATCTCTCCTGTTCATCTCCTCTATTTCACAGCAATTACCATTTATAGATAACTGCAGCCTTTGCACCAGTGAGGTAATCATCACATTATGCTGTTTAACGGAGCCGGCAGGTTCCCTCTGCATTACTTCACTCACTCAGACAAAAGCAGTGATGTATAATGGCCTCTGAAAATATATGAAAACACTGTAAAGTGGGTAATAATGATCTGCTGGATGATCGTTCAGGCAACAAGGCAGAGAGTCGACTGAGCTGAGAGCCTTTATACTCAGGAGATAGATATTTGATTTATTGACCTGCCACACCTCTCCAACACATCCTGCTCCCAGTTTGCATTTTATTAAAGAAATTATTAAGGGCTATTAAACAATTAGGGCTGCATTATCTGCTGTTTTTTTAATCATCATCCCCATGTCAACTTGCACAGTAAACACATCATGGAAGACTTTTGAGTGAGCTGAGAGAGAGCATCAGTAGAAAACTGCACTATGAAGTAACTGTTGTTCTTTTGTGTTCAGTTCAGTTTGTTCAATAAAAAAGTTGGAATTTTTTTTTTAATCCAACAAGCAGCTTGTATTTCAGCAGTGCACTGAAAGCCCCATTGCATTTAATGTCTTTACAGTGACATTCAACATTATCACCTGTTGTCCACAGACTGTGCAGCACTACAAGCTGTAAAGACATAATTAAAATATCGCCTTGAAACAAAGACGCTCCCTGAACTCCTGAAACATCTTTACAGAACAACAGGAAACTAGAGGAGCTGCAGATAAATTATGCGTGAACATTAACTGGAATTAAGTTCTCACCACAATCATGAGGTGCTGTTTTATTTTATTATTTAACAAGACAGCATTGCACTACACTCAGTTTGAGTATCTACCTACCTACCTACCTTACACAGTGTAGTGTTCATTATTTCAGACTCACCAGTGGAGGAGTGTCCTGACACCTGCTGACTGGAGACCAGCGACCTGGAGCTCAACCCTTCAACACACAGCAGTAACACCACAGTGAGAAAATCAGCTGTGAAACATTGCAAAATAAAATGTCCTGTAAAGTGTTATTATAACAAAACGCCGACAGCAGCAGATCAACTGCAGCTAAAGTTCAGCTGGCCGTCGACAGGAGATGTATTTTGTTTTTCACAGGTTTTATTCAAAAGACCTGAATAATATGATGGTTGTTATGAAGCACTTGTGATTTTTATGCAAATAAAACAAATCTTATTCTGTTTGTATTCAACATTCTCCTTGAGCCACGAAAAACAACACAAAAAAAACATTCAAAGCCTCAGAGGACAAAAACCAGTGCTGGATATTAACACATTTACTCAAATACTATTCTTGAGTGAAATTTGATGTACTTTCACTTTATTATTTGCATGATACATGCTACTTTATTATTTACACTTCATTGATCTAACAGCTTTACTTACCTTACAGAGGAAGATTTCTGTATACAAAATATATGAAGATGCATATACAAGATATACTTTGCTAAGGATTAAAACAGCCAAACTGTAGATACAATTAGAGCTGAAACAATCAGTTGATTAATCAATTAATCCAGTGACAGAAAATTATATTGGCAACTATTTTGATGATGGTGATTTTTCATAAAAGAAACGTCAAATATTTCAGTGCTACAGGATTTTCTGCCTACTAATCTTTAAAGTTTTGCATAAGTGACATTTGGTAACACTTCATAAGACAGCCCGCGTTTTAGAGTGTAGCTACCTCTCACCCACTATCCCAGGAGTTAGAGCATAATTCCTCCCGGTCACTTACCACATACTTTGCCAGGAGTTAGAGTATAACTCGCGGCCACTTAGCATGTACTTCCCCGGGAGTTAGGGTATAACTCGCGGCCACTTAGCATGTACTTCCCCGGCAGTTAGAGTATAACTCGCGGCCACTTAGCATGTACTTCCCCGGGAGTTAGAGTATAACTCACGGCCACTTAGCATGTACTTCCCCGGGAGTTAGGGTATAACTCGCGGCCACTTAGCATGTACTTCCCCGGGAGTTAGGGTATAACTCGCGGCCACTTAGCATGTACTTCCCCGGGAGTTAGGGTATAACTCCTCCTCCTCTACTTTCCCGGCAACTCCCGGGGAATTATGTGATAAGTGACCGGGAGGAGTTATGCTCTAACTCCCGGGAAAGTGTGCGAGAGGTACACTCTAAAACATGAGGTGTCTTATGAAGTGTTACCTGACATTTTTAAATACAGAACTTTTACAGTGTTGTATTAATCCTTTAACTTTAGTGAAGGATTTAAGTACTTTTTCCAGTACTGAGAAAAACCAGTTGACAGACAAAGGTCGGGTAAAAGATGAATCCATTCTACGAGCAATAACCTCACTAACTGAGCAGAAGTAGTGGTCACCTGATCATTACAGCCAGATGTCTCATAGCAGCCTCCATAGTACAAAATATGAAACATATTCAGCTTCAGATATAAAGTAGTTCTTTTAGATTTAAAGGTCCAGTGTGTAAGATTTAGGGGGATTTATTGGTAGTGAGGAGTGAGGTGGCACATCAGTGTCTCTCTGAGGCTGTTTGGCATGTTGCAGATGGGCCTCTGGCCCAGCACCTGCTCGGTGCTCACCTTTTTTCTGTGATAACTTAAGCTCCAGACAATCAGGAGGTTTTTACCAGGAGCTGTATTATAGTATTATATTCCTGAGGCAGAGATGGGACCAAGTCACACATGTGCAAGTCTCAAGTAAGTCTCAAGTCTTAACCTTCAAGTCTCAAGTAAGTCCCAAGTCATTTTTTCTTGGGCAAGTCAAGTCAAGTCACAGGTTATGTCAAGTCAAGTCCTGTAATAGGTCAAATCAAGTCCAAGTCAAGTCACCTTATTATTGTAATTTTACCTGCAGAATCTGATCTTAATCAAGTGAAAAGACAAGATATAAGTAACTGTCAGTAAACATTGATTTCATCGCTGCGATTTTTACTTTGCAGGGACGACCCCCATGCGTGCGCGCACACACACACACACACACACACACACTGGGGTTAATGTTAGCAAATAAATTAAAAAACAAGTTCCACCAAACCGACCCACCCCCCCACCCCCGTATCGTATCAAGCTAATGTTAGCTAACTACCGACTAACCAGATAATATTAGCTAATTGACAAGCACTTACTGGGCAGAATGGCTCTTCAAATGACGAACAAAGTCTGAAGTTGTCGTCTGGCTGTCCGACGTGTTTATGCCACATGTCTTGCACTGTGCTGTTCGTCTTTTGTCGTAATAATGGTCATACCGAAAGCCGAAGACGATGACTCTCGGTACTTCTCCCGCTGACATGTTGATGCCTATCTGATATAAGAGGGCCTGTTTCTCCAATAAACACGTAAGGTACGTAGAGAGGGCATGACTGATTGACAGGGTAGTGATCTAATCATGACAACGCCATTCTCAGCCTGCGCTCCTACCGGGTAATCAACATTATTTTTTAAATTAATTTATTAATTTTATATTCTAACCGAAAACATGATGTGAATAACACTCAAGTCATTCAAGTCATTGTGTCTCAAGTCAAGTCCCGAGTCTTTAACTTCCAAGTCCGAGTCAAGTCTCAAGTCTTTTATTTTTTGTTAAGTCAAGTCACAAGTCATCAAAACAGCGACTCGAGTCGACTCGAGTCCAAGTCACAATGACCCGAGTCCCCATCTCTGCTCAGAGGTCTCCTCCTCTCCAAAACAAACAGACCCGGTGATTTAAACCGGTAAATACACTGCTTTTCCTAGGCTGCTCATCACAGAGGGACTGCAAACTACGGTGGCTGACACAAAAATGTGAATGTCCCTATCTAGAGCCAGTTTGTCCGTTATGGGCTACTGTAGAAACATGGCAATGCAACATGGTGATCTCGTAGAAGAGGACCTGCTCCCTGTGTAGATATAAACAGCTCATTCTAAGGTAACGAAAACACAACGATTCTTATTTTTAGGTGATTATACACTAAAGAAAACACACTTATTATATTATATTCTATGTCTGCCAATAACTAATAACACTAATAACATGTTGGGGTGAGTGTGTGTCGTCGTACCTTGGTAGATGTCGTACTGTCCTGACATCAGGTTGTAGCTCATACCCAGGTGTGTGTGATGGTGTGTGTGGAGGTGTCGGGCGAATGACACGTGGTTCCTCTCTCGCTCTGTCTCTCTTTCTCCCTCGGGGGAACCCTTCTCGCCGGGCTGTTTGAACACACACATACACGCACACACACACATCTGGTTTTACACCTTTTTTGAAACGTTTCCCATCTGAACTTTTTCTTTGTGATGTACACCTTCATGAGATATCTTTAGTCCTGTGGTGTCGTTACTTCAAACCCACAGTCATTTGAAGAACCTCTTCATGTACTTGATGACATTGAAAAGCACTTGAAGAAGTAGAAATGTGAAATATATTGTTGGGTTTTTAACATTTTAACATCTGCACTACTTTACATGTTTGATTCAGTGTGTGTGTGTGGCAGTGAAGTGAGTGGCGTCTCACAGCAGGTGATTTTCCATGGTACTGATGGCTCTGCTGCTGCAGCAGCTCCATGGCCGAGGACGAGGACGAGTCACCGCTCTGTTTGCCGCTCACCGCTCCTCCTCTGCCAGGTGGAGTCACCTCCGACTCCTCCCTGCCCGCCGTCTTACCGTACAGAGGGTAGTGGAAACCTGGTGGACGCAAACACACACACACACACACACACACACACACACACACACACACACACACACACAGCCACAGACAAAGAAACATACACACACACGTACAGTGACTTTAAATCGCTTTCTTAGACAAAAGATTTGCACATATTGAAGCCTTCGGCTGCCATCTTTAAAGATACAGTCCCAGCTTAGCGCCCCTTACAGGATGTTAGGAGCTATAATAACATCAGGGAGTGTGTCTTTAATGTGTGTACGAGTGCCTTGCACGGTACTTAATACATAAAGTACTTTACTGAACTGAACTTGACATAAAGACACAGTAGATGCTACAAGTGCTTCGCAGTACCACTTTTCCCCTGGCTTTATGATTTATACATTTAAATTTGTTCTCTGCACCTTTTATGCTTCAGAATTGTTGCATTAAAATCCCTCTTTAAAGAAAAAGGATGGATCTGATCCCTTAGAAAGGTAAATTAATTTTTCATTAAAGGTGCAAATTCAGCAGCAGCTTAGATATCTGGTAAGTTTCATGGGTTCATTCCATATTTGGGGTTGCATGCATTATATCATATTAAGAGGTTTCTGAATGAATTAAGAGGGTTAAGGGGTTAAAACTTCTACATTTCCACTGTAATTACAAAAGGAGTCGTTTAAGGTAAAGTTAGGAGATGGCATTGGTACCATCTGTACTGGTGATTTAATGCAGAGGCTCTGAATTTCAAAGGGCCTCTGAATGTCTATTACTAGTATAGAAATATTATAATAAAATAATATTAATAGTCAGGGGGGTTGATGTCATAGATTCTGTTTACCAATTGGCCAGTTTGGTGTTAATGCTGATATTTGTTGACACTGACTGGCTAGTTTGGTACTGCAGTGTTGCAACATTATGAACTCAGGTGACTCTTGAATAAAAACAAAAACAAAAAAACAAGGTGGAATATCATGAGAAACATGACAGCGCTGCCAACATCCAGAAAAAGAGAAAAAAAAACGTGTTAAGTTTGTTTAAGTTTAATATAATTCATAAACACCAAAGTTAATCAATTTTTTTTTAAAAAGACTCAAAGCTACGCAGCACAAGGTGCGAGTCATGTAACTCAGCTACCCAACAACTTAGCAGTGGTTAGCGCTAACGTTAGTGTGGTGCCTCAAGAGAATGGCATTAGCCAAGAAGCAGACAAACAGATCTCTGTATGTTAATTTGTGCAGAAGTGCAAACACTGGCACCGCCAGGGTCACACAATGACTCAGACACAACTGAAACAAGTGCTTCCTCAGCAGGTCACTTGCTGCTCAGGACACTGAGGGGAAGCTTCTGCAGAGTGCAAAAGCAAAGTGGACAAACTACCGAAGGTGACACTGACGACACTGACACTGGTAAAGAGGGAGATTCCTTTGACGTCCTCTCGCTCGGCCCTCTCAACCGCTGTGTCTCCACTGAGAGAGCGGAGTAGGAAGAAGGTTCCTGTAAAGTTACCGGGCTCTGTGTGATGTAATGGTTGCGCGACCATTTTGACCGGGGCGATGTAGGGGCGTAGGGACGCCGTTAGCGGTGTCTGTAATAACTCCGGTCACGGTCCGTGAAAAAAAAATTTTTTGCAGCGGATGTCTTAGTTACAACATGATTGAGCTAACTGGAGTAGTTTCATGTCGTATCCGACAACGGGAGGTTTTTAACAGACGATGTCCTGATGTTAGCTTTGCTGCTGTTTGTACTGATGCTTTCTAGACATCGTGATTTCCCAAAACTGAATAAATACCACACATAGCAACACAAAACTGCTTTGCTAGCTCAATCATGTTGTAACTAAGATATCCGCTGGAAAAAAATATTTTTTTCACGGTCCGTTTATTGAGTTATTACAGACACAGCTAACGGTTAGCCTAGCTAAACTACGATAACCATGTTGTTATTTACAAAACGTCACATCCCGCCTTGAGTATATCCAATCAGCACCAAGTAATCCCCAAGCCCCAGCCAGGAGTTTCTCGGGGCCATTCTGAGTACCTACTCCGAGGCAGGGACTTGTTTAGCTCCTGTAAAAGTTCCGGAACTCTGTGTTCGGGGGTGGTTCCTGCGGTGGAGACACACACCAATGGCCCCGGCCCCGTAAAATTACCCCGAGGTTCATGATAATAAAGTTAAATAAAGAAATGTTGTAATATTGTTTAAGCAATGCTGTAATAAAGTTAGATAAAGTCTTGTATAATGAAATAAATCAAAGGAATCAGTGTTGCTTTTATTTTGTCGTTTTGCCTCAGGTGAACAGTTAGCTGTTAGCAGTTAGCAGAAAGGTAAACCATAACAGTGGCACTGTAAACGAGGGGATTTATTCACTGTGAGCTGGAAACACACTAACAGCTCTCCAGGTCGTATATTAATAATATATGCAAGTCGCACTGGTGCAACTATGGTTGCAGTCTGGAGCCCTGCAGATCCAAAAACACAAGCCTCGCCTACTCACACACTCTCGCCCAGGTTAGAGTGATTTGGATGGGCAGGAGAGTGTGTGACATATCATGTTTGTGCCGGTGGCAAAAAATAAATTAAGTGACAATTTGTAAATGATATTCGGGATAAAATCATTTCATACATCTCATGTGGAACAAGCTGTCATACATTGAGTATAATTGACATATCGGCCACCTCTGCTCCCAACTGTTAAGGAAAAAAAATATCGGAGTCACTTAGAACCAAAAAAATCAGATTCTGGCTGTTTCTACCTGCAGTCTGAACGTAGCCTAACTCTCGGCAAGAAAGCAAATCAGCCTCTTTCCCCAAAATGTCAAACTACTTCCCATTAAGTAACCCCAAACCATCCCTCAGACTCTTACCTGGGTAGTTGTGCACCAGGGTTGGGGACACCCCTCTGTAGGAGCCCCCGCTGCTCTCACACATTGCCAGGTAAGGTGGGTAGGAGGAGTGCTGGTACTGGATGTAGGGCTGCTGGGGGGTCATGGGAGGAGACACTGCCGCCCGGGCATTCTGGGACTCCTCAGCTAGCCCTCCCATTGGCTCCTGGCCTTGATCATCCAGCCCGTCCAGCCTGTCTGAATCCTCCATGTCGATGGTGGGTGGGAGATCGTGGACCCTGGCTTTTTTAGCGTCTCCTCCCACTCCTCCACCTCCTCCTGAGGTCATCTTGGCCCCGGCAGGCTCCACGGTAGCTCCCCATTCTTTCCCCCTGTCTGCTTCACCCTCCTCGGCCTCCTCTCCGTGTTGTAGCTCTGAGTATTTGCTGTGAGCGAGGCAGTGAGCCCAGGCCGGGCCGTCTGAGGGCTAGATCGATGGGGACAAGTGTTGGTGCGAGTTGCAGTGTTTCCCCTATAATTCTTTGTTAACAGTGGTGGGTGGGAGTCATTTTGGGGTCACTTCGGTCCATGTCTCTGTCCCAGTTTTGTTTATATGGCCAGTTGCAGAGCTAAAATACCTATTTCAACTACACGTTAGCCCTTTAGCATTTTGTCTCTGATGTGTTTTTTTAGAGGCTAATTTAGGACTTTCATTTGTACATTTTCTTTTTAGCAGGGGTGGAGAATTTCTTGCTGCGGCGGCCCACCGCTGCTGAATGACTATAGAGGAAACACTGTGTGAACAGAACCATAGACAGACCATCTATCACTGGCTCTGGGTGTGATGTTGATGAAGGATGACGACGTTTCAACAGCAGGCGGCCATTCAGAGGTGGGATGTGAGGAGAGTGGCGTCCCCGTTCAATGACACGAATCAAGACACGTCTCACACATGATCAACTGCAGAATTTCAGCCAAAACTGAAGGATAAAACGACCTCGCAAACATTCAATTCATACAACCTTTTTTACATGACCCAGCATGGCTAGCGGTTAAACGCATCGTGAGATGGTTAAGAATCTGTACAAGCTCTCTGAAAAAGCAGCTCATATAAAAACCAACACTTACGTATTAGAAATGTTTCTTTTGTCTCTTTATGTGTGTATGTTTTACATTTACAGCTAAAGTTGGAATTACACATTAAAAACATTTGCATCCATCAAATCAAACCAGATGATTTTGATTTCAACCAAAATGACTAAAGTTGTATGTCAGAGTAGAGCTACAGCACCACAGAAGCCACATGGTCTTTGTTATTAGCACCTATTGGTTTTAGCTGTACACAACGTGTGATTAATCTCTTTGTGACACTCAACAACAGTCATTAAAGCACACCAACAACACCATCAGCGGCGGCGGCAGGTTATAGACAGAGGGAGAAACTTACACTGGAATAGGAAACATTTGAGTCCAGATCTGTCTGACTGTTTGGGTTGTGGAGTGATGAAGAAGAGGAAGAGGAAGGTGACTTGATGTCGTCGCAGTCTTTCATCGAGACCTGGTGCTGGTCCACCATGCCACCGTGCACCGCCTTTATGCCCAGACCCTGTCCCCTTTCTCCCCTCTCACTCAACTCCACGTAGGACAGGACAGGTTTGGGACAGCAACCTTTAGCACCGTCTGGACCTTTACCTAGCATGGATCCACCAGTTGAACCCCCAACCATGTGTTTATCGTCCTCACTGTCTCTCACCCCCTGTCCCCTCTCGCCCCTCTGCTTGGCACCATGTGTCTGATCACAGCATTTGGAGGCCAGTAACAGTTTCTGGTCCATGTACAGTCCTCTGGAGTACTGGCCGTAATACAGCGACTGGGCCAAGGCGGTCTGGGTCTGACTCATAGCGAGCTGGAGCTGAGACTGAGGTGGCCCGTCGCCTTTCTTTGAGTCCGAAAACTCATGGGAAGAGCTTTTGTCATCCTCTTTCACGTCTTCCTTTCTGTCCTTCCCTTTGCCGTCGAGGGCCGAGCTTTTGTGGAAAGCAACGCTGCTGCTGTTTGACCTGTCCGACTGCATGTACCCCTGCAGGTAGTAGGGCTCATAGCTGTGGTAGTATGGGGATTGGGAGTCTTTTGATGGTGGGGCGGATGCTGCGGACGGGGTTTTACCAGAGTTACCGTGGTTACCGTTGGAGCTCACCTCCGAAGAGACCGAAGAGGCGGACTTGGATCTGATTCCATCCGAGCGGCATTCGGAAGATCCCCCGTCGTCCCCGGCATCTGAGATGTCAGAGTAGGCGGGGCTGTTGTTCTTGCTGTCTGCTGCCAGGCAACTACCAGCAGAGTCAAGCCGCGATGAGCCACCAATGGACGGACTGGGGGCGTTGTCGGTGAAGGTGTACACCTTATCAGCCTCAGCTCGGATGCTGGCCATCCTGCTCTCCTGGCTCTCCGTGAGTCCGTTAATCACATCCTGCTTACTGAGGTGCTCCTTCAGAAGGCTTCCAGAAATCTCCTTGACACCAATTTTGGAACCACAACCATCTTCCATTTTGATTCCGCTGCTGTCACCATTAGGCGTCCTGGTTTGCGCATCTTTGTTGTGTTTGTCCTTCAGCCTCCGTTTCTCTTTCTTCCTGGTCTCTTTGCTGCAGTTGACCAGGGTGGCTTTGACAAGGCTCGGTTCCACAACGATGCTCAGCTTTGGTTTGATGGGTTTCAGAGGAAGGTTTTTACTGGTGAGGCCCACGGCTGCCATGGGTGACGGCTGCTGTGAGGCGGCAGTATCTGCTGTGCCGGTCGGATACCCCGTGTTGGGAATGGCGATCAGCTTGGGGGGAGCAGGGGCCGGAGCGATTGGCCGGTTGGTCCGTGACTTGGACAGCTTCTCCACCTTCCCGTTGGCCTTCTTGCCCTTGTCACATGCACCTCCCTTTTTGTCGATCAAGCCTTCAGCTTCCAGCTTGGGCATCTCGACCGTGGAATTCCTGTCTGGGACCATGCAGTTCTCCAGAACCACGGTCATGTTGGAGATGATGGGCAGATTGCTGAGGTCATCAATCAGTCCATCTTTCAGCAGTGAGGTTCTTCTGGTCTTGGGGTTGGCTGAGGGGCTGTGGTCAGTACTGAGGAGTAGCCGTCTGTTTTTAGGAGACCCCACCGTGGTCACCTTATATAAGGGAGCAGGTTTCTTGGAGGAGCTGTTGGCATTAGTGCTGTTTGTCTCTGAGAGGTCATATGTCATGTTGCTGATGGTGTCCTCACAGTCTGATAGTCGTTCCTCACTCTCTCCGTCCTTCAGGGGCTCCAGCTCCGGCTTCCGCTGCTCCTCAGCTTCCAGGTGTGCATGAGTCTGGTGGTAGCGCAGGCCGTTGATGTGCTTGTAGCGTTTAGTGCAGTTGGGGTGAGGGCAGTCGATGAGGATGGGTGGGGGAGGTGGTGAGGAGGCACAACCTCCTCCAGGGTCCATGAACGAGGGGTCTGATTTGCCCTGTGGCGTGGATGGGGCACTGCGGGATTTGGCCCGGATCCTCTTCCCATTCCCGTTTTTGATGTCATCAGAGGAGACCAGACTGAGGTCCAGGTCAGCTGGCGGTTTGTTCTTTCGCTTCCCGGAGGACAGAGAGGAGGTGCTGTTGGCAGGTTTCACCTCCTCCACAGTGAAGAAAGAAGGAGGTGTTCGGCAGTTGCTGTTGATGAGGTTTAAGCTTCCTCTCCGTCCTTTGCTGTGGATGGGTGCGGTGGCTCCAGCCACACCACCTCCACGGCTCCTGTGCTGGGACAGACCCCTGACTTTGGCAGCAGGGGCCGGCTCAACGCAGGGCCGCTCGGCCATGGCCATTCGCATCCGCTTGCCCCGGCCACGCCCACCTGGCAACTCAGGGTCACTGGAGGGAGACTCACAAAACCTGGACAGAGGAAGAGAAAGAAATGGATTTAAAAAAGAAATTCTCTTAATAATCACTTAATCAGAGATGAGAAAGACCGTACTGTGACATGTCTTGTTTTATTGTTTCGTATTGCATTAACACAATACTTATTGTGACCAGTTGCAGCCGCTAAAAAGAGGGCGCACATGCAGCACTCCACCAGCCACAAAGCTTAATCTAGAGTCAGAAAATTATGATTAGATATTTGAAATAAACAAATGAATGTGCCTCCTGGCTCCCTTACAGTCAAGATGGCAGTGAACATAACAGATTGATGACTTGATCTTGTAACACGACTAACTTTTCTACGGATGTCCATTTTTGAGCCACAGCAAAGGCCAAAATGTGGCCCGCAACAGATGGTAAGGCCTTTTATTTTAGCTGAGGCAATTACCGGCCAACTGACGCCCCCTAGTGGGCAGTTAAGAGGAGTGAGGAGTCAGCATCAGTCCTTGAGTGCACAGACATACATTTGCACACAAAATTTTTGGCTGATTGGTCCAGTAGTTTGCGATATTAGCTGTGGATAGGCAGATAAACACACACACACACACACACACACACACACACACACGGCCAAATGCATTAAGGGGGTAATATGGAAACCACCATAAAAAAACAGACATAAATATTGGGATTGTAGTCAATGAAAGAAAATCTTTGTCAACTAAAATTCTACTGACTCCTCAACCAACCAATTCAATGGAGGACGAAAATCTGTAATCTGTAATCTCTAGATGAATTAAATGAGCCGCAGTGCACTGTGTGCACTCTATCTGGTCACGTTGCGTGTCCAGCAAAGTATTTTTCCTTGATGCCAGTGAATATATTGAATCCTGTGCAGTGGAGCATGTCTTTACACTGTACTACAAATGCCAGCAGCGTGACAAGGCACTAAGTGTCTATTCTGTGTGAGCGTTTGTTTGTGTTTTTTTTGGTTCCAAAGTTGAAAAATGCTGTGCTCATCACGTCACTTTTTACCCCTTAATTCAGAACAAGCACTCTACCTTGTGCTGGCGTTTTTACTTCAGCGGATATTCTGTATCATAGCAACAAGGTGCAACCAAAATGTCTCAGCTGCCTCCAAAGCGCTCTTGCGCTCCCAGCTCGACATTTTCAGAGTAGCACCTGGTGTTTTCAGCTGGGAAAAATGCTTTGGGGACATGCACGGTCTTATGAAAATAACACCAGAGACTGTCCGACCGGTAAGAATTCAACCCAGTCTCACTCTGACGTCGTCGAATACCTGCACTTTGACAGTGACGTCCCATGTTACATCGGCATGATACACGGCCAGTCGCTGTTATTGTTTAATCGCACCCAGCAGCGTCAGGGGGAAACAAGGGGAGACAACAATGTAAGTTAAAGGAGTGGAAGTCCAAGAAGTGTGGGCGGATGGGGTGGTGGATGGGTCCAACAACCACCGCCTCTCACCAAGGAGGCCAGTGTTTGCTTCCTGTAAGACTGTAAATCCAAACCATGTTCTTTTAACCGAACCTAACCACGTGTGTTTGTTGTTGAAGGAAAAAAACATCATTTTGCAGTGTTGTACCGATGTAGTGCTTTTATTTTGAAAGAGACTGTATGCAAACTGTACATTTCCTGTGAAAACAGAAGTGTATTTTGAAAACAGACAATGCATGTAACAGGCTGAAGTTGACACGGCGTCCCAGAACGTCAACAACCAACACACCCAGGGTACCTTGGACGTCATATGTGGACGTGGAAAGTCCATGACCAAACGTGGACATGTGACGAGGTCACAGTGAGGATGTGTTGGAGAGTTTGGTTGAAGAAGAGCATGTCGTCCAACTGACCAGAAGGTGCCAGGCTTCAGATGATTAAAACACATTTTAACCTCTTTAAACTAAATTAAGTATTAGATTAGGGTCTTAGGTCTAGGGGACACATTGTGGTAGTTTTATTTGCTACTTTAGTCTTGTTATCTTAGAACATTGTGTTCTTTCACAGTGTATCACTTCATATTGTTTTGTTTCATACTGTCTCACTTCACGTTGTGTTGTGTCCTATCGAGTGTCATGTTAAGCTTTTTCAATCCTGATGGATAAACTGAAAAACACATCAAACAATCAAAGCTGAAAACTGAAAACAAAGCTGTTTTCTTGTTGAAGCTGTTGTTCTTGAAAGGTTTTAACCTGAGAACAACTTGTTTCTATCGTCACCCAGATTGAACTCTTGTTCTGTCAGACAAAAAAAAAAATTGGAAGATAACAGATTATCATTCAAGGCTCATGGGGACCACTTTACCCAGACGTCAAGGATAAAAATTGATTTTTTTTTTCTGTACAAAGCCTGCTTCTCTTTTGATAACATAAAAAAAACCTGTACGATCCACACAGTTATCTCTGTATTTGATATTGAGACATTTTGTATTCACATGCCGTCCTTTCTACTTTGAAGTCCTTTGATGCTGTTTTCCAGAGCGCCTCACACTGAAGATGCTTCTCCACACTCACACATTGTTATTTATATCAAAAAACTGTCTGCTGGGATAAGAAAAATGCACTGCTTTATATCTATCTACACAGTGAGACTCTATATTTGAAACTGGACCCTGAGCAGTACATATGTGCTGGCCTTTTAATGTATTATTATGACACTGCGTTGCAGGAGTCTATGAATATATTCTGACCTTGGAAAGACTGTTTTGGGGTGTTAATCACCTTATTAATGGAACAGACTGCAAAGCACGTCGAGACTAGACTTTCTTGTCCCCCTCTGTGATTTTAGAACGATGATATCTCACATTTCCTATGATGTTTGTAATTGCTTTTTTACATCAGTGTGTCCCTGTGAATGTCACTGAAGCTGCTGGAATGTCCGACGGAAATTTTATGGATTTTCTTTAGCGTTTCAAAGTTATTTGTTGCTCTCAAGTCTCTATTTAAAACTTTCGATTGAGTGATGTTGTCCAGATGATTTCCAACAATTCAACTTGCCAGATTAAAGGGATAGTTCAGATTTTTTTTAAAATGGGTGCTGTATGAGGTACTTATCTATGGACAGTATATAACAAACAGCTGAGTCAGTCGTCACGCCCCCACTTTGGAGAAGCAGGCTGGAGTCCGACATGGAGGCTAAGCAATGTACTGCTGCGGATGGGGGTCAGTAACACAATTGGTGGCTAAAATGCAAAAAAATGCATTTTAGCCACCTAAAAAAGTTACACCTAAACAAATCAATATCAGTTTAAGTGTACGTTCTATTGAGAGTATTTTCAATGGGAGAATATTGCCCAGACTCCATTAAGACCTTCGACCACGAAATTTTAATCCGTTTATTCTTCAGTCCAAGTGGATGTTTTTGCTCTTGAGATATCACGTCCAACAGAATGACATGGATGCACGGTCACAGAGACCTTGACCTTTTAATAACCAAAATCTAATCAGTTCATCATTTAGTCCAAGTGAACATTTTTGCCAACTTTGAAGAAAAAAGAAACCAACACATTCTCACTCAGAAGTTGTTGAACATCAGTGTTTGGTCAGTGACCTCCGGTGTCAGAAAGAAGCTGTCCTTTCACATTGGCATGACACACAGCCGGTTGCCGTTATTGATTAATGGCGCCCGGCAGCATCAGGGGGAAACTCGGCTGGTCAACAACGAACGTTAAGTCAGAGTAGGGCAGGTGGAAGGGGCGGTGGATGGGTCCAACAACCACCGACTTTCACCTGGGAGGCCAGTGTTTGCTTCCCCGTATGATTGTAAACCCTATTTACAATTTGCTGTATTATACTGATGCAGTACATTTACTTGGAAAGAGACTTTATGCAAACTGTACATTTCCTGCTAAAACAGAAGTGTATTTTGTCCATGACCAAACGTGGACATGTGACGTGGCCGGAGTGAGAATGGGTTGGAAATTACCTCAAGACATTTTGAGATATTGCGTCCATGAGGATGGGACAGACAGATGGACGGCCACCTGTAACATAATGCCTCGGGCTACAGCTATCGGGGGTGCGGAGGCATAATTAACCTATGGCTAAGCCCCGCCCTCAAATGCGATGCGCCAATCACAGTGCGTATAGCCATTCCCATACACTCGGACATTCTCTGCCTGGACGTCCATTGAAATGCATTACAGAAAGTCAGTTTTGTTCGGTTTTATGAGCTTTTTCTGAGATTTGAAGTTTAAAAATGGTCAAACGGTGTGCATGGGGTACATGCAACTCTGACACAAGGTATCCTGAGAGGCTGGGCGACCAGGTGTATTTTTTACACTTTAAACCACATCTCAATCGAGAAAAGTGTCTCCTTTGGATAAAGTTGTGTGGTAACGTTAGACCACAACATCAACTCAACGTGAATAAGATTAACAATGATGTCTACATCTGTTCTAAGGTAAGTCAACATTGTGTTTGAGGCAACATATTGTCACTTTGCTGCAAAGAAATATAAAGTTATCTTTAACATCTCTAGCTAACGTTAGCTAAAGTTAGCCTAACGTTAGCTCCTAGCTGCGTTGTTCATCATGTCACCTTGTTTGCTGGGAGTTCATTAGCCTATTTTGTTCTAGTTTTGTACTTTGGTGATCGTACATCATTGTTAGCTGTTGTCCAAAGGGCTCTAGTTAAGCTAACGTTAACTTCTGGAGCTTAGCTTCATTAACTTATCTGTAATGGCAGAGATAACAAAGGTTGGCAAACGTTATGCTGAATGATTCAGTGTAAATACTGTAGCACCAAACTAACGGAAAGACACTCTTGGTAAAACTTCAGTGGCACTTTAACTTGTTGTCTTTGATGGTGATGGCAACCAGATGCGGTTCACAAGCGTACACTGTGACCTGTAAATTTTGGCTTGTAATTTAAGCTTTTCATCGACCTTCTCAACAATAAAATGATGAATATATCCCTCCAATGCGTAGTTTAGGCCCTTTTGGTTACTTCTCAATGACATCTGATCGTTATGTCCCCAAAAATCATCAATTGCCTCCTGTGAAATGCCGTGTACTGTGACACCTGCCATAGCGCCGGGCACTGAATGTTGATAGTTTGTCCGAGTGAGTGGAGGGGGGCGTGGCTTAGCCATAGGTCAATTACTGTTTTTTTTCAATGGAGTCATAGATGGGTAACTAAAGCTGTTAACAGCTTCCCACTTGAAATGAGCTGTTTGACGAAAAGGTAAAGCAGTGAAAATACTCTCAATATAGTCTACACTTACAGTGATATTGATTTGTTTAGGCAACTAAAATATGTTTTGCTGCTGACCTTTCTTCACAGCAGTACATTGTGAAGCTTCTGTGTCAGTGCTTCTCCAAACTGAGGGCGTGCCGACTGACATCTACTGGCTATGGATATCTACTCCATACATACCACTTCAAAAAATCTGAACTATCCCTTTAAGCTGAAAAATTGAAGTTCATAAGTTGTTTTTGTTTTTTATCATATCTAACGTGATATAATGTATTTGCTTTTTTGTGCTCTTAATTTAACAATTACATAATTTTTGTGTTTCATTCACATTTGATTCCACTGCATTATATAATAAAACAGCATTCAGTCACTGCTGACAGTCAGCAGCGACAAGAGTCCAAATGGAAAAAAGCAATTCAGTCCCTGGTTTCTGAGATTAAGCTGTAATTGCCATGACAACAATCATTTACATACAGCAGCAATAATTGAGAGGATTCAGCCCCGTGAGGAGGGACTGTCACATTTTCCACTCAGCAATTACAAAAACCACTCTCCATTTGTAAAACCGTTGGGCTGGAGAGTGGAGAGCGATTCTGTTCGAGCTCATCAGTCAATTTAGCCCTTTCTGTCATTTTAGCAGCATTAAAGCACTTTAAAAATAAACAAGTGTTCTTTTCATTTAATCAAATAAACAATCAGCAGCAAATAAAAACCAATAAGAGGAACAATAAAATGATTAAACATAAAAGGGAAATACACCAAGCACAAGTGAGTCAGAACAATTATATGAGACCTGTCCTTAATGTGTTTAGAATGAGGATTGATTTGAAATATAAATTTTTGGCCTGATTTGAACCAATCACGCTTACCTAATGTCTGACAGGAACACAGTTCCTGTACAGAAAGACAGCACAGCATTCACTCATCATGCAGCTTTGTTGTTGGTGTCCTAATTTGGTACGTCTGTATCACCCTGTAGCAACGTGACCAGCCAATCACAACTTCAGCGAAATGATGTGCTGGTTTTAAGGATTAAAAGTCATAGTTAATGGCAGCTGACACTGTGTGTACATGGGAACAAAGACATTAACACATGTAACTGTAACAAGCTGCCCAACAGGAAGCAGAGCTTTCTATATTTATATTTTACTGTGACCATGATTGTTCTCTTACCTGAAAAAATACTGTTCAAGAAACCTGTTTCGAAAAGAGACGTACCGATTGTGAAACTCTGGGCTGATTTTGACATTTTTGTTGTTGTTGTTTATGTTTTCATTGTTATTTATACCCCCTATTGTTGCAGGGAAACAACAGAAATCTTCATTATGAAAAAATTACAATAACTTTATGAAACAACCTAAAAACAACCTTCTCTCACAAGATGGTTATTTCTTTTCACAAAAAGAAAAACATTTCTGCTTCAAAAGTCTTTTGACTACATAAATATCATCATAATTCTCTAATATCTGTTTCATATTGCTGTGAAAACAACACATTTCTCCTTCAAACATCTGGATTTATTCAAGTTTCTCACCAAAAACTACATTTTACAAGACTGCGTATGAACAGATCTTGAGAATGTTATAATTTACCTTCATCCAACACTCATTTTTACTGAAGAGAGCTTGAACGCATCATAATGTAACTCCATGCAACTTTCATCAGCTGTTAGTTTCAGCTACCAGCTGCATAGAGCTAACATTAACGAGCTCTCCCAGTGTTTCACCACACTTACAATCTATTTGTGGCTGTAGCAGACAACGAGGATTTCTAAATTCAGAGGTTTTTATGGGTCCGTGAACACAGCGCAGGTGGGAGCGCCATTTTCCCCTCAGCAGCAGTTTTTAGAGTTTTGAGTGGCGGTGTGGATAACTGATCAGATCAGATTGATGGATGAAAGAAGCTGTTTGTGAGTGAAAACAAACTTTCGACCCAGCATACTGAAGGTCAAGTTTCACTTTCACTTCGCCCGCCTTCTGCCGCTCCATCTGTGCCGTCAGTCTGTGGAGCAACAAATAACCAAAAGGTAGCCTATACATAATCCAGCGCCGCACCTAATGAACGGTCCTGCTCCAAAAATTGAGAATCACAATGTGGCGGCAGATGTTTTAATCGTGGCAGTGTGCCACAAATAAATGAATGAGCACATTCCCTGAGATGACAGGACGATGGGACAACATTAGCCTCTGGCACTGCTTTTTAGCCTGTGCAAAACTGAAGTGACACAACAGTAAAAACATTGGCCACTGCCATCAGTGAATGCCATTTTGTTCATTTTATTCACTGATAAGCTGATGGCGGTCGACGAAGTGAATATCGGCCGATAACAATGTGCAGCCAATAAATCGGTGCATCCCTAGTTTCCAGTTAAACATTGATTTAATTGGAGAGTGGCTCTGAAATGTTTGTTAGCTTACTAGCATAGCAACTCAGTATATGAACCAAACTCCCTCCAAAATTTCCCGATACAAAACTATGAATGCTATGAATTTAGTTTGTCTGATGCAAGCTGTTACAGCCGCCATCCTATGTTACCAAGCAAAATGCTAACATTTCAACAACCTAACTTTTCAGGTCCATATCAGAGTCAGTGAGGGGTGAGGAAAAAAATCGATTCTTAGATGCATCCCTATTCTAAATTAATAGATTATGTTTCGATGCATGAGAGTCAGTATTGGGACATTTAAAACTCAACTCTGTTCTCATGTCTCCTTCAAAAGTTTCATCATTTCACTTTAAAAGTGCACTTAGTTTGAACCAACCCTCCTAAAGTCCATTCACTTTGAGTCTCAACAGTGAGCTGAGAGGGAATGTGGAGATTTTGGGGAATGCTATGATATAAATATTATATGAATATGAATAAATAAATTAATAAATAATTTATAAATAACCTTTGAGGCAGAGAGCGAAAGAACAAAGTGCAGTATCACCTTGGAGGAGCCCAGTCATGTTTGGTGCAGTCTAACAGAGTCCCCACGTAGGTCCTCTTCCTCCACGTCACATTCACCACCAGCACACCTGTCAATCACAGCGGACAGAGACAGAGCAGTTAGTACTGGAGCTGCTGGGACAACAACAGGCTTCTGTGTCAGGATGAAGAGGTCCAGCCCAGTTGCTGGAAAACCATGTTGACATTGTGCGTTTCTGCAAACCACGGATACCTTACATTTGAATGTTTCACACGGATCATTTCAATGTTTCTGGAGTGATGGAGTATATGAGCTGACTTTGTCATCAGGAGGTGGAGGGGTTGCTAAACAACAAAGCCAGTTTTGATTTAGTGAGTACTTCCTGTGTTTCTAGCAGCTCTTTTGGCAGGAAGAGTGGTTGTTTTTACCAAGACGTCGCTGCTTTTCCAGCAGGGACTGTGCCTCCGACATGACCTTTAACTATATAGCCAAGCCTAAACCTAACCACACGTTCACCACAGCATTGTTGACACATAATGTTTCAATACATCTGCTTCACAATAACTAGGGCTGTCCCCCAATAGTCGACCAAAAGTTAGTCGACCAGAAAGGTCATTAGTCGGCAAGATTTCATTGGTTGTTTAGTCGCAGAAAAAACAAAACAACAAAACTGAAACTTTATTAGGAGCTGCACCTTGTCAAAATAAGTCCAAACCTATATGACTGGACCATGTGTAGTCTCTATATACAGACTCTAAGTGAATGTAGAGTATGTTGGCAAACCCCGGAGATCTTGCCTCCATAAGAAGAGCGGAAGAGCCCTGGTTTCTGGTTGTAGGCTGTTTGTAGTCCGCGTGATATTGACCAATCACATTTGAGCCGACTGCAGTTGTTGCCAGGTTAAACGGTCCGTGCAGTGAATTAACGAGGCGGAACATAACTGGAGTCACTGCAAACTCTGAATCCATCCCAATGGTTCGGCATATTTACTTATATATAAACGGAAGTCAGAAACGGAAATTCGCCTCCTCCGCCTAAATCAATCCGGAATGCCAAAAAATCGGGGGTCTGCCCCCAGAGGCTGTATCGCCATCTGCCGGAAGTCAGACGCCAAATACAGCTGATGGGTTCCGAGAATGGACCATGTGTGACTTTACTTTGAAAGGACAGACACAGGAAGTGTCCACGCTCAGCAGTCAGACAGGAGTCAGGTTAATTTCCAGGGCTGGTACCTGCGGTTATTCCACAGGCTAGTTAATGGCAGGAAAGGCAGGAAATCCAAAGTGTGGGATCATTTTGAGAAGACTAGTCCACTGATGGACCCTGATGATGACTTTTGGTTGACAAGGAAAAGTCTTAGTTGGGGGCAGCCCTAATAATAACGTACAAATGTAAAGTATTGGCGGTTTGCAGACACGTACAATGCCAATATTTATTCTGGTGATTGGATTGAGAGGTCAGGTCAGAGAGAAACATACGGTGCAGGACTTAAAGCGGAAATATGAGCAGTTTGATTCACATCATAAACAATCTTTAATCACAAAATAATCTTTAGTGATATTTAAAGTTTTATCCCAAAATGTTTATCCTTCTGAAACAGATGTGGCATGACATTAATCTGTCAGCAATCAAACAGATAAAACCAAATAAATATTGTTTCTAGAGGAAATAAGGTCTTAAAATGCATTTCTCATGGTGAGGGATTTTCACATCAATCATAAAATAAAAAACAAAAGTTTGACTATTACAGAATCAAACAGTGGTACAGCTGTGTTCAAAGGCACCACTGATTCACAGCAACAAAAGACAACATATCAAACTGTGTGAAAGGAGCTTTTCACCTTTTGTTCACCTTTATCAGACTTCGTGAGCAGCACTTCTCTTTGTAGCTCTGCAGAAATACTCAGCCCTTTGTTCTCTCTTGTATCTAATGAGGAAACTAATGAAACACTGATAAAAGACAAATGTGCAGGAATAAAAAGAGGAGCACACTGCACCTCAGAAGGAGGAAAAATCAATGTGACGAGCAGACGGCAGTTAACAGTTTGGAAATGAAAAGCTGCAGCAACCTGAAGGACTGAGTTCACAGTTTTAAGAGGCTCAAATTGTTTTCCAAACGGTTTGTTACAGCCTCTGTGAAATTGCTCAAAGTGATATCGGTCAGCAGCATCAGAGCAGGAAAACACAGCCTTCTGTTCCTGTCAGGTTTTTGGTCCCAAGGAAAATTTAGTCTTTAAGGTTTAAAGTCTAATCTGAGAACTGGCGACCCCTCAGCCATCTGAAATAAATGTCCCTCTCTTCCTCTTCCTCTCTTTCTTTCTCTCACTCTCAGACTGACATTTGAAAACCATTAACCTCCGTTTTGTGATGCGCCAGCGGCATCGCAGAGCAAATCAAATCCTGGATGCATTACAGCTTTGAAACGAGGTTTGACTGCAACACACGACTCCTTGCTCTTCAATTAAGCCTGATGGCCGCAGCCATCACAAAACACTCTCACAGACAGATGAGAGCTGGGGAACACGGCCAAGTGTGTCGCTCAGTTTGACAAAAGGTGGATGTGATGAGGCAGATTTTTGTTTCACCACAAATCTTTAGATAATGAGCTGGATGGATTTAATCAGTCAACAACTTCATATTCCCAATGTTCTCTGTCAATACTTCCTTCAGTCGCTTTGAGGTTTGATCAAATGTATTTTCTTCATTTAATGACGACCTCACCTTTAAATAATGACTGAAATATTTTAACCCAAGGTGACTGTTTTTTTTGTTTTTTTTTTTTACAGCTGCAATATTCTAAATAATATCAACACACATAAACATCATGTCAATGATAACTACCATTACGGCTTACCAGCATCCATGCCTGTGAAAAAATGGATGTTTCACACACACATTCCCCCCACAGCACAGGAAATCTATGCAGTCAGCACAGTTTCAAGGACGGCAACCGAAAATTAGAGTCACAAATTCAGTATCCCACCAAATGTCTCCCCTTCTGTTCCTGAGATATGATGTTGTAATGATATGTATGATGTTGATCCAAAGTATGTTTTGTGAGGTTGCAGTGACCTTGACCTTTGACCTTCAACAACCAAATTCTAATCATTTCATGCTTGAATCCAAGTTGACATTTGTGCCGAATAGGCCTGTCACGATATGCGATAAGTTGGTTAATTGCACGGTTAATTTAAAGGGAGACGGTAACTTTTCGGGCCGCGATTAATTGCCATATCCATGCGTGTTTGTTTTCCTCGTCTCTCTCCACCAAAGAGACTGGACGACAAGAGCGTTCACTGCCGTGCATCGTCTGGCAGCCAGGTGAGTTGGTTCATTAGCGTAATGAACGGAGGTAAAGCTCTTGTCATCGAGTGTCTTTGTCTCTGTGGTGGAGGCGGGGCTATGGGCTACACACACACACAGTGCGATCTTCGTGAGGGGGAGACGAGGCGGAGAAAAAAAAAATAGTTTAGCTTAAGAGAAAGACAGGGAACTTGTTCCTAAACCAAATGCCACGGCCCCTGTGTGAGAGTGTTTTGGATTTAAACTAGGGATGGGCAAACGATCAAAATTCATTATTCGATCATCAAAAAAATTAACGATCAATTATCGATTAATTGATAAGCGAGTATTTCAAAAGAGAGAAAACAAAAGAGTGCAGTGCAGACTGTCGCCGCAAGAGAGCGCAGCTGCCCCAGTTTTGAGCTTCAACCCCCCAGGCCAAAGAGGAAGAATGGTGCGCATGCGCAGTTCACCCCTGGATGTTTACAACCGTTGCCAGCCAGAGTTACAGGCTTCAGTTTTCAGCAAAACCTCCGTCTTTCAATGGCGTAGTGTTTTCAGAGGCCTCAAGGGAAGCCGCCGAGGCTTTGGAGAGCGATGAGAGCCTCCGTCTGTTTTTGATTTTTTGCCTGGCATAGGTCCGGCGGGGGTCTCGTAGGCCCGTCGAGCCGCCGTGCTCGCCAGGCGGAAGGGTCTCGTTGGCCCGGGGACTTGCCGGGCGGGGGGGTCTCATTGGCACAGCGGCTCGCCGGACCTATGCCAGGCATTGTAGGGAAAACACTGCGACTATCGATCAAAATTATTTGTGATCGATCAAAAGCCTTAACAATCAATCATCGATAATCGAAAATTGATGCCCATACCTAATTTAAACCAAATGACAGAGGGGAGCCCAGCAATGTGGACGAGCCGGTGTGCCGGGTTTCCTACAAACAGCAGTGCACCCAAATTCGTACACATCCCATGCATTTTGAAAGGCTACGATCACGCGACCAATGAGCTGATGTCAATAAACAAGGAAGTAGTCCCGCAAGTTTTTAAGGAAGCAGGTTGCGGCGGTGGATTGGTCACAGGACTTTTACTCGAAGAAGTGTGTTTGGATCCGTGTGAATTCTGAGTCATTTTAAGGTCCTCAAATTAAGAAAAAGCATGTTGGCCAAATCTACAAGTTAATTTTAAAGCCGATATTGGTTGTTTTGGCAAATTCAAAGGATATCATACAAACCGCTCCATGAGAATATGTTGGTCGACCAATTGCCTCATTAGAGCAGGTGTTTCTGTGGTGATCTGGAGAATTCAAGGATGAGGCCAATCACGGAGTTCTTTCTTAATGCACGTTTAATTACGAGCTCCGATCAACATGGCTACATGCGGAAGCTATGTGATGAGTGTGAATAGAGAGAGAAACACAGCTTATATAGGATGGTGGCATGTATACTATTACCTAAAACGGTGCTCTGACACATTTGACTTGACCTTGGGCCAACTAAAATTAGTCTAACTTGTCCATTCATCAGTAAGCCTAGCACTTCTGACGCTATGACGTCTGTCATAACGGAACATGATCCCCAGGGGGTCTTGACCAAGTTTCCATTGGTCAGTGGAGATGTAACAACACCAGCACCTCATGAACAGGTTTTTAACTATTTCTGATGTAGCCTCCAGACTTGTAAACAATGCTAAAAGAGTTTTGCAGTTCAAAATGAAACCACTTACTTAAGGAGGCGACCTAGAGGGAGAGACTGGAGGGTGGGCACAATGTGTCTACAGCAATGCATTTTGCCACCACGACGGGGCTACAAGTTGTAAACACTGAATGAGTGGCCC